CCTAGAATAAATAATAATTCATTTTTAGCTACCAATACTTGATAAAGCATTTAAAATCAATTAATACTTGATTTTATGTGTTAGGCATTAATAGATTAAAAATACTGTATTATTTTAAAAAAAAAACTTTCTTATTTTGAGTTCCTATGAGACCGTGTGTTTGGCTGTAATTAGTATAGACTATAACCGATCGCTTCTGGTTCAATACTTTGAATCACAGGTCTGGCAGTTTCGAAAATCAAGTTTTATGGAGACATCGTCCTTCATATATATATATATATATATATATATATATATATATATATATATATATATATATATATATATATATATTTATATATATATATATATATATATATATATATATATAAATAATTAAGAAAGAGACAGCCTTAAAGATTCCATGACTATAATTAATTTCCCCAGAAAATATATTTATCCTGGTTCATCATGTCACATTTTCTTTGTAACTAGAGATGTGACCTGATGAACCAGGAAAAATATATTTTCTGGGGAAATAAATTATAGTCATGGAACTTTAAGGTTGTCTCTTTCTTAATTATTAATATTTGTTCTTGTGTTACACTGAGCTCTCTGGATTACATCATCTTTGAAATTATCCCCACGGATTACCAAACCCTTTATTACCTTAATATCTATCTATCTATCTATCTATCTATCTATCTATCTATCTATCACATCCACACACACACACACACACACACACACACACACACATATATATATATATATATATATATATATATATATATATATATATATATATATATAGTAGAGAGAGAGATAGAGAGAAGGAATAATGGACGAAGGAGGGAAACTATAATGGGGAAGAGAGAGTTGTCATTTATCTCCTTAAATCATTCTAAATTTTCTCTTTTTGTTTGCCAGTGTACAGGAGCTAAGAAACTGTTCAATAAATAGAACGCGTTGTTTGTCAAAGGTCCTGAAATACATAACAAAAAATAGTTTCCCCGGCTCAGATGTGAAAACAAGAATTTGAAAAACAAAAAGACAAAAAAAAAAAAAAATCTATAAAAAGCAACTCGCTAATGTTCGAAATCGAGGAATATTTTTTCTTCTCCGTTTCGGGCAAAAGAAGGACGCAAAACAAATTGTGTGTCTTATTAAAAAAAAAAACAGACACACACCTGAATAGAATAATTACAGAAAACACGCAAATTCACGTCACATCTGACGTTCCAAAGTTATCAACAACCACCATGTCACGAGTCAGGTCGATGGCTTTAAAAATATTCTAAACTAGACTTTTTAATCAATACACTAGAATATTCGCTTGCTTAGAACTCGGTTGATGCTTTTAAAGCAAATAGAACATCTACAAAAGCATTTAGAGGCTACACAATCTTCTGGTTCCTTATTTTCTGTTTTTGTTTTCTAAACTTTACTCAATACAAGACTTGGGAGTCACTCAAGGTATACGGTTACCCTTGGGATGATGAATGAGGTGTGAGGCATGCGCAGAATAAAAAGCAACCAACGGAGGACATATCTTTTTATAACATGAACTTTTTTCTAACTTGTTCTCGTCATCACTTCTTTTCAGACATAAGAAACAAAAAAAATCAAGCCAATGAAAAAGTCCGCTGTAATCGATGTCTTAGAGACTTCAAACGCGGTCTTTTGGGTGATGAATTATTTTCCACCCGTTTCGCGCAGACGAAACGTTGCGAACCTGTCGCTACAGTATAACTATTTCATGTCATCTGTTCTAACAAGCCACATTCCTTAGACTCACCCTATTTTTTTGTTTAAAAACTGATCATAAAACGCGCATTATACTCAAGTACATACTTTATTTGTAATGGTAGCTTCTCTTTGAAAACTCAGCTAATTTAAACATTTGGCAAACATAATCATTGCTTCGGTTTTGAAATTGGGAACTGAGTCGGTTGAAATGGCCATATCATTATAATTGTTATGGTCCAAGTTTAGGACCATGGAAGAACAACACGAAACACAAGAGTAGAAATAACAAAGAATATATTACACGAAAAATAATACAAGAAGTGTGTTGAGATGTTGTGAGTTCCCGCGTGTTGGTGTAAGAATCAAGACAAACACAGTTGTAGAGGAAAATACTGGTATATTCATAAAAGCAATTAACAATAGAGTGATTAGTAGAACGAAGGTTGGTTAGTACGAAACAATATCCAAAGTCTATAGTCCAACGGTATGTACCGGGTAAGCTTATCTGGACTGCTGACGCTGACTCTCTCCCACTCGCTCCCCAGAGCTGACTTATATAAGAGGGACCAGTCCATTACTAGTTAGAAGGTGGGTGCGCCCCAACAAAGTGGAAGGTGTGAGTATGACTGTCAGACTGGTTTGGAGTGAACTACTATCAGCTCGACTCGATTCAATACCGATATTTAACATTCCCCTCACGAGGAATGTATGTGGCACAAAAGCCGAGTTTAACGTGGCTCGGCCAAAAATATACCCTTTGAACCCGCCTAGACGTGTTCAGGGTCTGTCTACCTCCCCGGACGAAACTTTACCGAAGGGGAAAGTTTCGTCCGGGTTCCTCTCTGCCAAAGCAGAGAGTTGACTCGATTCAATACCGCCCGTCTCTCTTGAGATGAGCAGTATATATAGTGTTAGGAAGAGTTCATTCTGTCGGTCTAGGTAAGGACCCATGACAATTATCCCCTTCATTTTCAACGTTATTCTGCGTGGAGATAGTTCAAACGCATATTCTTAGTATAAAAATAAGGAGAAAATGAACCAAAATTAATTAAATAATTTTATTAGCTTTTTTTTTTATTACTCATTGAGTATGATTTTCTAAAATTCTCAAAAATCTTGTTTTGGATGAAATATGAGAATAGGTTTAAATCGGTTAATTGAATAAGGTTTAGAAGATTTCAATTTTTCTCTTTATTTCACGTCCGGATAACCAAAGTCCAGGTAATCGGGGAAGTAATATCTGAACAAAAATCAACGGAAGTCAGCGTTATAATAAATACGGGACAGTTTTTTTTTTTATCAGGCCTGTAACAAGATTCTATATTTACATCGACGAATTCTGTTGCAGCAGCTGTGTTGCATTCCGTGTCCCCACTGATTTCAGTTCTGCAAGCTATCAACGAAAGACTTCCTTTTTTTTTATTCGTTTTATTATCCGAATTATTCGAATCTAGGACATAGTTAAGGGAGCAGACGCCTACTTCTCTGCTTCGCATTTTGCCACGTGCGACCTAGCCTCCCTAAGGAATCTGAGTACAGAAAGCTTTGCCGACTCTTCAAAATCCTTGCTGTCCTATGACGGCTACGCACTATTTTGGCCTTTTATCCAAAACTTAGACAAAGGTAATTCTAAACTGTTAGAATTCCACGCTCACGAGTCTTCTGGTCAGTAATTTTCTATTTGCTGGGTCTGGGCTGGGCCGGACGCCACATTCTGTAAGAGTTGATCACATATGCTGCGCATTGTGCGTAGGTTGGATATCGCGAAAGATGTTTTTCAGAAATTAAGCAAGGTATTAAGAGAAACAAAAAATACAAAAAAAACTCCCCCCCAAAACAGTGCTGATGTGATTTATAGCGATGGTTTTCAGAAGCTGGACAAAATATAAAACGATAGAAAATTGATCACCAAAGTTGAGCAACATCCGGCCTGGTCAGAACCTAGATGGGTGACAGCTTGGGGAAAACAGGTGCTACAAACTTGGTTTTCGGTTCCTAGGAACTGAGCTGCTTCACCCTCATACGTCGGGAGAGTCCACAAACACACAGACACACACACAGACACACACACACACACACACACACATATATATATATATAAATATAAAACTGCTCCTGCCAAAATAATAGTTAAAATAAACTACAGTAACCAACACCAAAATTGAATAAATAGCTTTAATTATCTTCCCAAACCAAAACAAAACTATTAAATAAGCGATATAAACAAATTTTTACTACGTTAATAAAACACCGATTGAAATAAAAATAAATATATAAGATAAGAAATAAAAAATAAAAAAAAACAAGCAAGATAATTTAACACGAATAAATAAACAAATAAACGACTTCCGGCAAAATAACCGTCAAAATAGACTACCCACAATGCACCACTGACCCGTATATGTAAATAGCCGAGAAAGAAAACAAAACAAAAAAACAAAACACTCGTAGCCTGACGATTGCG